TGTCTGGGGCGCTTAAACAATTTTGCGTCATCCTTCATTAAGTCATCTAATTAATAAATTCGTAGGGAGGTATCTAAATATCTTTATTCCAGCGCCATCTATGTTTTAGGTATTTTTTTTGCATAAACAGTTCTTATCAAAGTTAATACGCGTTAATCCGTAGAATAAAGACGGATTGTCTAAATATTTCGACTCCAGCGCCATCTTATATATATATACGCATCCGATACGTGTTGAAATTAGTAGTACCTAAATAAGCGAAAATTAAAGTATTTGCGGACGGTGTCGCAGTCGTTGTGGCTGCAAAAATCTTGAATATGCCGAACGGATAGCGGAGGTTAAAGTAGCGACGATTGCCGACTGGAAGGAATCCATGGGTCTGTGTCTGGCGGAGCAGAAATCGGAGGTGTTACTCATCAGTGGCCGTACAGTAAGGGAGGAGGCGTTGGTCCGCATCAGGGGGTGTACGATACATTCGAAGCCCTCGATTAAATACCTGGGCATTGCCTGGTATTGCGAGAAGGCTGCCCAAAAAACGACTGGCTAGCATGCTGAAATCCGTGATCCTCTACGGGCATCTGGGCAGATGCACTCCAAGGAGCTTCATCCAGCCGTAGCATCAAGTCGATGTACAGACCCTGTGAATGAAGGGTTTTGTTCAGCTTTTCGCACAATGTCGGAAGATGCAGACCTTGAGGTGGCTGGTCTGCACCCTATTGAATTACTGACGAAGGAAGCCTCATTGACCGTTCCTGGCTGCTCCACTGCACTAAGTACGCGAACGCTCGCAAGAAGGCGCACTCTATCCGCACTTCAGGAACGATGGGACACAGCTACCAATGGCCGATGGACACAACGGCTCATACCTAATATTGAGACCTGGATTAGTTGGGTACCAACTAATAACGGGCCATCCCACTTCCGGGCCACTTCCCCGAAGACGCGGAGCATGTACTGTAGTGGGGCGAACGCCCCACAGAACATAACTTAGTGCCAAAAATTATGGAAATCCCAATCAACTGGGGAGCAGTAAGAAACGCCGCAGCAGCAATAATCGCTAAATTGAGGAAACAGGAGAGGTTGAGATCGGTGAAACGTAGAGAAGGAGTCACTCTAGTCGCCGCCCTTAGCTGAAACAGCTTGCTATTGAAGAAGCGTCGAGACATACAAATACGCCGGAGAATACGGTCCTTACTCTCGACTCTATGTAGGGGTGGGGCCGTACAGTTTGTTCAAAGGAGGGAGGGAAGGGCGGGTTAAATGATTCACAGGCGGGTGGGGCCAAGCAGGTGCAGCTTTCGACGAACTGCGCTAAGACAGCAACGTACGATAGAGCTTAGTGCTCTAAACCGCCTCCCGACGAAATACTAAACAGTAGTTGCGGACAGGCAGGGAGTTTTATTCCGAATTCAAGTTCCACTCAACGGAGGTTAGGTTTTCGACATACATACATACGTATATCGTTTAAGTCAAAATGAAAATATTTAGACGGTATGCGCATCGAATTTCACGGAAAAAACTCACACCTTATGTTTTGGGGCACCCTAATGTACATATGTATGTACATACATAGTTAAATGCATTTTTGACGTTTCACGCTGTTTACACCTGCCTACCGGCCCCGCCCCCACACAGCCTACAGCCGATAAAAACAACGGCGCTTTTAAAAGCGAATGCTTTTTATCGTTTGTTTGTTTGTTTATTTATTTATTTATTTATTTATTTTGTGTTTGGTAGTTGACAAGTTGAGTGCGCTGTGCCACTTGACGAATTGTCGCATTGACATTTGTAATGATTCTGTTAATTTGATTTCAATAAACCGTTTATTTCTACGTATACTACATACATACAATTAATAGTTTATTTGTACAATTATTTATTCGCGATCCATGTTTGTTGGTTTGTTTTCATTATAAAGCGCTGTATGGAGGCTTGCGATCAGAATCGGCTGATCGCCGCAGTCCCCAACGGTGGCAACGCTTCTGCGAAGCACACTTTCCAGAGCAAATGATACGCTTCATTGCAGTCTGATTGCTTTACCTACCTGTGTCGGCTCAGTCGCATGGGGAGCTCACCTCCTCTCACGAAGGGTGGGAATGTCGGCTAAATCCGGCGTTTGAATGTCACACCTTTGCATGGCATGACCGTGGCTGTCATTTATTTATTTGTATGCAAGGCTAACAAAAGTGTGACGAAAACTGTCGGCAATGATCTTGTATTGCAATTCCAAATAATTTATGTACACTTTTGTTTAGATAAAAAAAAAAGATTACATATTTATGTTATTGCAATTTTGTTGATAGCACTTTTTATTAGGTAATTGTATCCCACAGGTATTTTAGTTGTCTAATGCTTGATTTTCATTTTGTATAATTTTGTAAACTTGAAATCTTATGTAATATTGTTTTGGTATTGAAAGAATGGTAGTGAAGGGGTTCAAATGCAAAGGGGGAAGCTTGAATTTAATTGGATTAACTGTGAACTAGGCGAGTACTGGCGTTGACCCTAGTAAATGAGCGTCTTCGTGAACATCTCGCTCATTAGCGCCCACGCCCCAATGGAAAAGAAGGACTAACTGTCGACAGATATCTTGTCTGAACGCTTGGAACGAATTTAATGCAAGGGTGGGCTGGGAAGACTCAGCTTTCATGACGAAACATTCTATCCTATTGAAGCATAAAGAGATGTATCAAGCTACCAAGAAACCAAATCGATCACTTTGTGATAGACGGAAGGCATGCCACCCGTGTTTTGTATCTTGTTGCAGCCAAGATAATCGCCCGCCCGCTTCGGTGCAGCAAAAAATGTGCAATCAGCAATCCACCTTGAAAATCCTGCATTGAAAATGTTAAGCTCTCACCTCGTAGAATTTGTCCAAAAGTTAAAGAAATACTCGTATTTTTTTTGTTGACAGAAAATATTATACATATTTAGAACCGCATCAAACCCCATGAAGTTTTCACGTTTTCGTAGATATATATACGGTTACTCCAAAAATTGAGCGTACGGCTCTTTTTTGTTATTATTCGCAATGTTTTACAAGCTAAATTTTTGTTTGTTGATTTCGTTTTAAAATATGGCTTATGTTTTTGCAAATTCCATTTGAATCCAAGAATGTTGCTGTGTATAAAAATTAAGAAAAATCTGCAAAGTTTCAGCAAAATTGCGAACTTTTTATTACCCTAAAAATTCGCGTTGATTTTTGACAATTTTTTGCTGGCTGTCCTACGCATTTTTTTCATATAAAAAAACTCAGAAAATTTTTTATATGGAAAAAAATGCGTCGGACATTCAGCAAAATTTTTTTCAAAAATCAACGCGATTTTTTAGAGATTTCAAATTTGCACATTATTATACTAAAATTTTATTGGGCTATAAAACTGCATATCTGAATTCTTTTTAGAAATTCCTATTAAAAAGTTCGCGATTTTGCTGAAAATTTGCAGACTTTCCTTAATTGTTGTAAATATGAGCTATATTTTAATACAAAATTTAAAAAAATAATAATTTAGCATGTAACACATTACGAATATTAACAAAAAAAGAGCCGTACGGTAAATTTTGGGAGTAACTGTATATACATATATCGGTATAGAATTCTTTAAAATCAATATTTTTCGGTCGGAAAATGCTATTTCTCTTTAGGAGACCTCCAATAACAATACACATTTTTTATTTAACCATTTTTTAATATTAACTTTTTTATAGGGCCTCCGAAAACCCGAAAATATGCAAAGGGGGGGGGGGGGGGAGCCCTAAAAAAGTGTTAATTTAAAAAACGGTAAAATATGCAATTGGATATTATTATAGGAAATCTCCTGAAGAGAAGCAGTATTTTCCGAAAGAAAAATATGAGTTTCAATTTTATGTATACCATTTTTATTTTCCCCATATAAAATATGTACAAGGATAACTTAATGGGCTTTGAAGCAGCTCTAAATATAATTTTTTTTTTCAAAAAATACGGGTGTTCTTCTTTCCATTTAGAAAAATCGCAGGGGGTGAAAGCATAACATTTAAAAAAATTTTTGGACCACCCTACTGTTGATACATACATATGTACATAGGTATTTTTATTATTATTTTTAAATATTTCTACTGGAATAATCAAAATACTTCGTCAGCAAAATTTTAATGTTTTTTGGCGTGCTTTAATTTACTGACATTAGGGTGGTGCATTAGAGTGATAAGAACGGAGATCTGGTGGGTAAGTACTACAATGGGGTCCCTGGGGTCATTGAAATTTGAAAATTGTGTCCCAGAGGCAAGATCATCGATATATCATACTAAAAGATCCGACTGTATATGTCGATGATATAACGAAAAAGTAAAACGGCGACACCTTTGTCCGGCAAAAAAAAAATAAAAATTTTTCGAAATTTCTTTTACAAAAACCACTGAGAACTCGGGGTTGTACGGCGAACTTTATTCCAGTAGGGTTGGGTCGAATGTACCTACAAACATATAAAATGTTTTTGAACCTGCCAATTCGACCTAAACGAACTGAAAACGCTCTTCCAGCCTGTGAACGTTTCACCCGCATCAAAATTCGTCACTCACTGGAACATTATGCAACAATAAATTGCACAGGCCATTAGGGTATAAAATTACATGCATTCATACATGCATATCGAATGACAGCAAAAAAAAATATTTCAGATTCAGTAAATCAATGAAATTCGCGTGCGAATGCCACAGACGAAACAGTGAATCATTATTGCATCATTAATACGGACACAATACACTCCTGCAGTGTTTTGAGGTCTTTGTCCTCAACAAGCAATCCTTTCGCTTTTAATTTACACTCATACATACAAACATACGTGCATATGGATATATACATATATATGTATATGTACATATGACCACGCGACTATTTGTAATTTTTGTTCTTGTTTATTTTTTCTGCACGGATGGACATCCTATAATTTTACTCTTTGCATCTTCTCTTGACACATTTCATATGCCTGCCGCCACTTCACGGTTTCACTCATAAACAGTATGGACTGTCGTGCGGTTGCAGTAGTGTTCTTGGCTCTTATCACAATTAACGGAAAAATGATGATGCCATTCGGTTATGTTGGTGTTGTGCAGGACGAACGCAAATGTCAGTATTTAAGACCATCGCGCATGCTCAAAATCCGTTGTTTCGATATGAATCTGAAGGAAGTGCCGCAGTACCTGAAGTCATCCGTTGAGGTGAGTACAATACATAAATACATACATGTATGTATACAAGTGTGAAAATGCTGCAATGCAGGGATCAAATTAAAGTCAATTGACCTCTGGGAACGGCCTTTAGCTTTCGATGGACGACAGCGAATTTTTCATTTGCGGTTAAATGCAAATTTCTCAGCGCTGACTTGCCGTGCAACTGCAAGGGTTAATTTGTGTCAAATGGCTTGATAAAATGTATTACTCACTCGACAACGTTTATCCGATTTATTTGTTTATTTTTTAATCATATTTCTTTATTGAGTGTACTTGCTGCCTTCACTTTGTCGTGCGTACTACCGGGCAGCTTCTGTCCACACAGCAAAATGAAATTCAATTGACTTTAATTAAACACACAAAAGAAGTCGTGATAATTTCCTAAAAGTACATATGCATATGTACATACATATATACGTGCATACTCATATAAATATTTCCCATTGTACATATGTACTTCCTGCAGACTTGGTCATATAATTCATACAAAACACGCAAAAGTGAGCTGTGATTTTTATTTTACTGTCCGTATATACATACATATGTAGCCCACGAAAATGTATTTCTTTCTTATCAACGCTTAAAACTAATTGCACCGTCCCGCCTAATTACAGATTCTGGACCTCGCATTCAATCGCATCAAAAAACTCAGACGAAACTCATTCGAACGTTATACAAGCATTAAAATACTGGTGCTCTATGAGAATAAGATACAATCGGTGGAGCCGGGCACATTTGCACCACTAACATCATTGGAGGTAAGTACAAATGCTTATACAGTGTTGTGCAAAATTTAGGCAATAGCTGTACTGTAAATTAGGATCGGGCTCGAGACCTTGGCCCAACAACTTCCAACAGTTAGGTATATGTAGAAACACTGTTTTGCTGATAGTGGTCACTCCTCCACAGGCATTGGAAAACCTCCGAATGTACATCTGTCATGTAAAAACTGCCCATAAAAAAGCAAATTTCGTTCCGAGTTGGCGTAGAATTGCTGGCAGACTACAAATTGGAGGAGACACTCGGGGAGCTCCCCGCACTGGCTTCAAAGTGCCGTTTGTATTTAATCTAGATCTTCATATAGGTCTTTAGGTCTTTAGCAAAAGAAACCAATACAGAGAATAAAGCTAAAAAAGTTTAAGGCATTGGCCGAAATAACAGGCAAATATTTTGTAGCAAAGGTCTAGATACCCGTAAGCGCGGGTCGAAATTTTTATTTTCCTTTAATCCTCTTGTAATAGTGATAAGATGTCGTTATATGAGGTCAACTACAATGATATACGAATAACAAAAGTCTTTCGACCTATCTTGTCATCTGTCTTTCAATTGTCCTACGAAAGACTTTTTGACAATTTGTTGTTGCTGTGGTAGAGGAACTATTAAGCTCAGTCTAAATCGGCTGGTCTATCAATCGTTGACATTAGACTCAACTAACCTAGGTAGCCCTATAGAACGCGTGTAGTTTCGACGGGGATCAAATGGAGCGGAGAAAAGTGAAGAGGTGGTTGGTCTCATGCTTTCACAAGCTGGCCCGCTATGTGTTCGCTATGTTGGGTTCGAATCTAAAATAGTAGTTAAGTCTGGTACAGTATCCAGTCCCTAGTTCGGCAAGAATTACGCAGGTTTCTAGACAAACTCTGAAGCTCTTCGTCTGCGATGGGTTGTAGTTGTAGTCATTGAGTTGGTTGAGATGCTTTATGGCGTACCTGTAAGTAACTGTTTGGAAGCTCCCTGCGGTAGAAACCTATCAATTAAGGAACTCTATATAACTTATCGCTTTTGATGCTTTAATTTTGCACAGAACTGCGCTCATGTAGTTACATGGTTTACTAATTGCGTGTACTCCATAAAATCACTGTAATCGACAATTAAACAAAATTGACGTGATGATGTTTTTTGTACAGCTAATTAGTAAATGGTGCTATAATTAAATAAAATGCAATATAAAAGGAAAAAAACATACTTACATATGTATGTATGTAGTTATTTATAAAAAATAAGTTCCGCTGATAAGCGTTTGAGCGTGAGTATAGTTGGTTCTTTTTCGAACTTGAAGTACAGAAAAGTAGTATGAAAGATGTTTGGGGATATGAACTTAAAAATTTAAGCTAGCAAATGAGTAAGTCAAGATAAATTATTTTCATATCCAAAATGCAAATCAAAGGGCTTGAACATAGCATAGTTATATGCATTTACTATTTGTGCTATGATACCAAATATTTACTCAGTGATGTTGGCTTCCTTATTTTATATTTATGTATGCGATAATTGCTTAATTGTATGCACCAATTTCAAGTGATCACGGTTTGAGAAGAATATTTTCAAGCCATATGAATCTACACTTGTGATAAATAAAAATGTATTTATTTGTGTATGTATTTACATATAAGCAGATGTTTTTATATATTTTAGTTGACAATTGTGCATTTATTTAATTGTGATTTTTTTTTACATTTAATAGGAGATCGATCTATCTAATAATGCGCTCGTCACGATACCATTGGAAATTTTTCAACTTCCGTCGCTGCGAAATCTTTATGTTGATAGCAATGAGCTTTTCAATCTCGAACGCGACCTGCAGGTATTTATAACACTATATTTAGTAAAAAGTCTTAACCCGAAAAATGGTTTAAAAAACATTTTTATATCTCATAATCAGGCAGGTTCCGCAATTCCCTTCTGAGTAAATTTCAGCGCCTTTCAATACGAACTCCAAGTGACTTTGGTTGAATTTCAATCGGATAGTTAATTGCAGAATCTGCCTTTATGGTACTTTACTATATAAAGGACGAGGTGCCCAGTCAACGCTATCAGCTACCCCAGCATGGGGCACCTTCAACGAATGTGAAAGTAGTTTTATTCGCACCAAAACTCAAAAGATCAGACTAGCCTACAAACATAACATAAAAAAAAGAATGTGACTTTCTTCAATCCAAAAAGCTATCCGCCTTACCATTGCAGGGACTTTTGCCATAACATTTTATTTTGAAATAATAAGAGCTTGTTTCAAGCTTATATATTTTTCTATTCGCTGAATATCTTCTGAGATATGGAGCCTCAAAAAAAAAACAAGGGCCGGAGTTATCACGGTCTGTCATATATGTTCATCAAAATTTATTTAACATTATAAATTTATTCTTATGTATACATATATTATATATCATATTTTAATTTTAATATTTGTTTCTCATTTTTACTTTTAGGGTCTTGAGACACCAATAGGTGCACCATTAGAATATTTAAATGTAGCCGATTGCGGTTTAGAGAACTTACCCAATTTGGGTGTATTGCCAAGTAAGTAATCGCATATCGATGCCTGAGTGGAAGATCGACCTATCTCGGCAGCTAGTTCGAAAACTTTTCAGGAATGCCCTATTTCCGAGTTTGACTGAAGAACACCCTATTTCAGCTGACAATTAAAACGCCCTATATGAGCACATTTTCTGTGTATTTTCAGTTGATATAGGGCACTCTATAACCAAATTCTGAGATAGGGAGCTTTTCAATAAAGTTTTGAAGCAAGGCGTTCTTCAATAAAATTTTGTAATAGGACGTTCTTGAAAAGTTTTCTGAGATAGGGCGTTTTCGAACTACCTGCCGAGATAGATCTATAATCCACTCAGGTGACGATATGTAATATTTGAGTAAAAAATTATTTGATTTAAACGAACATAGCAGAGAAATAAAAGGGGTAAGATCTCTCTGAGGTCAGGTTATGTTGCGCCTAATGACAGGGCCTTAAAATAAGTACCACCAATTTAGTAAAATCACTTAAAACTAAGTGAAAATTTCATCAGGTTTCTAATAAATGTATATGTTAACCTCAGATCTACAATCTCAATGGCCAGACCTTTTTGACCGAATTCAATAACGTACACCCGTCGTTTCTTCTCTGTGTTAAGAGAAGTCAAGTCCATTTCAGCTTGGCCTTTCCACATTGTGGGCCACACGACGAAACTTTTTTAGAGCTTTCTTTAGATTTTCTGTGGAATTTCTTTTAATAAAAAACTGCTTGGCTAGTAGAGTTGTATGTGTATTCAGAGTCATTGTAAAGATGGCCCGGCGCCACATAAATGGCGGATTACATATTTTTTACAACCCCATCCTGAAAAAAAAATATTTTCGCGCATTCTATATATAGAGATTATATACATATATGTGTAGATATGTTTGTGTATAAGTCTGTATAGTAAAATGAATTGTTATACGCAGTTAACTAGTTTTTATTGTACTAGCTTTGTTTTAGTTTTACTAAATGTTATGTTATCTACATTTGTAATAAACTTGACATAGAAGAAGGTATTAAAAACTCTAACAAATTTTTGGCAGGGTTTGGATGGTTTTGGTTGGAACTTTTGGTAGGAAAAATAATTTGTCCGTAGCAACACTGATAACCATACATGCATATGTATGTATATTTGAAAATAGTGGCGACATCACTGCCCCTTTGAAGTTATGTAAAAGACAAGTGCCTTTTAGTGTAGATTTTTTTTAAATTAAGAAACGTAGCCTCTGTCTTAAATTTCCAATGAATCTTGGAGATAAACAGCATCTATAATTTCGTAGACTATGCCATAGTAAATTTATGATTGATTTACGAGTATGTATGTATGTATGTATTCATATAATTTCTTCTCTTTTAGAACTTTGGCAAATAAATGCCTCTTCAAATCCCTTGACTGATCTCACCGTGAACACACTAGCCAATATGTGCAATTTACGTACAATGGATCTGACGAAAACGGACATAAATGAATGTGCCTGCCAACAAGTAAATCGATACTTGCGGTATATTGGAGCTGATGTAAAATATGTGCCAATCTGCATGGGTGAGTAATACAAGCGGGTGAAATACAAATAGTTCTTCTTTAGAATATAAGGAAATGCTGCATCTGTTATTCGGTTTTTTGGAATTGAATAGTTTATTTTTTGTTAACCAAGGCAAGCTAATATTTTCAGTTTTGTATCTACATATGTATTTCACGTGCGAACCACTTTCTATTCATCTATCAGTGATGCTTATTTTGTTAGGGTTTTCAAAGTTCCCAAAGCACCTCCTCCTATAAACTAATAATAGCAACCGTAATGTACACTAGTATAAACCGATCCACTCTAATGGTTACAGAACAAAAGAAAGAACTTCGCATTAGCCTCGTGTGCCTTAAAATACATTACTAGAATCGAAACGGTAGTAGCACGCCCTTTTAATATTATTTTACTAAAATATGTAGCTTTACGTAGGTGCACTGCTGATTAGAAGTGAAGGAAGTTTCATAGGATTATAAAGACAAAACCTTCCACATTAGTTGAAATCTTCTTATTTGTTCGACATACATACATATAGTGCTTATCATAACTATATGACACTCACATATTGACAAGTTTTGACTATTTATTTTTCCAACTTAATTATTTTTTTATAAAAATATGGCTTATTCTGTAACAAAAACGATATAAATTTCTTTGTAGCCCATTCAATTTTAGTACATATATGTATTTCAACTCATTGATGACTAAATAATTGTTGATTTTTTTACAAGCCTTAACTGCAGTTTATGCCCACTGGAAAAAGGAGATTACAACTCGAACGGGGTAATTCCAGCTATTAATTGAAGCAAACGAAATGAAAAATTAAGAAACAAGCCTTACCGATCACCCCATGTAAAAATTCTTGGAACTTAACTGCAGTTCTCTCTAGTGGTTATATGTATTTTAGTGTTAACTGTCGACATGTTTCGAGACCTTCTTGATTTAGTAATATATAGTAATTTAAAAATATATATAAAAAAAAGTTATGGGCCCATGGCATTTTTTACAATATATGCAACAGGTTTCGTTTTAATTTTTTACGCTAATTTTTTATAATAATGGTTCATACTAAAACAAAAAACATACAAATATAAATTATAAACTTTGTGCAAACCCCACGAAAATTCAAGAAGTTATCATGCCAATTTTCAACTTTTGAAAGAAAGTTTTTATATATATTTTTTCCCCCCCTATTGTTTATTGGTCGTTCGTTTCAAACAATATTGTATATCCTTCGAGCTCAAGGCCACATGAAAATCAAAACACAAGTCGAGTCGATCAAACATTGTCAAATGTTCCTGATGATGACTTCAGACTGAAGTCGAAATATCGGCAAATAAAAACGAATGCAAAATCAAAAATTGTGTATTGATTTTCATGTGGCCTTGAGCTCGAAAAATATACAATATTTTTTTTTTTAGTACGTACTTTAGTATCCCATTAAATTTTAGTACAATAAAATGCAAGTTGGAAGTAGCTAGACCTTACCGTTGATTTTTGGCAATTTTTTCACTTTAATAAAAAAAAAAATCGGCAATACACGTTTAATAATATAATGAAATGTTTCAAAATTTCAGTTTTGTGGGAAAACGCAATCAAAGTTTTATCAATTCATACAGTTTGTGTACAAAAATACAGATAGAAAGACACATATCTTCGCCATATTTGGCTATATGTTAATAATGCAATCTACAAAAACGTAAATTTTGAGTTACATATCTATACTAATAAATGTTCGATATGTACTTTGATTTCTCAAAAATCAATGCAATTTTTCAAAAGCTTCAAACTTGCATTTTTTATACAACAAAACTGCATTCTCAAAAAAATTCAAAAAAGTCTCTTTAACAAGTTGAAAGTTTACATAGAAATTTACTGAATTTTACTGAGTTTCGCACAAAAAAAAATGTGGGGTTTAATGTTTTTGTTGTAAACATTTGTTTATAAAAAAACTAGCGGAGAAAAATCAAAAAAAAAAAATGTTGTGAAAAATTCTCTGGGCAAATACTTTCGGCCGTGAGTGTACATGTATGTATCATTTCTTTAACTGACATAATGGTGGCTGTCCATTGAACTAGTTCCCACAAAAAATTTTGAGTTAATTATGCAGAAATAACCGTCATCTCTTCATCTGTGTCAAAATTTCATAGCTGTTTTGATCAACAATAATAGCTCATTAGAAGATTACTATTGGCAAAGCAAAGCGTTAGGTGGTTTAGGTACCAGCGTAGTATATGCTGATTATTTCACTGCTGGGTTTGCATTTATAAAATTGTAGTAGAATTGCTCGCTGCCTCATGTGCCTTTGCCTCCGACTCAAAATGTTTGCATATTTTTAGGCATACGTTGAATACATATGAAACTAAAACATTTATAATAGCTTAGTATTACTTTTAATTTTTTTTCGTGCAACAATAAAAAAAAATAAATATTAATTGTTTTAAAGTTTTGCTTGCGAACATTCAATGTAAATATTCAAACGAATTACTCTTCTGTTTGTTTTAATTTTATTTTATTCATTCTATTTAAAGAAAACCTCGACAACAGCATATGTCCGGATCCATATAATTTAACTCTCGAATCGGCATCATTTCACAGCTGCAAATCAGAAGCTGAACTGGCCAAAGTGCTTAGTTGGCGTTGGTTAATAATTGCGGGGGCAGCGGCATTGGCTTTGCTCGGTAAGAGACAATAAATTGATGTAAAGCAATTAACCACTTAAACTAAATTTTCTCCGCATCATTGTTTTTACAGTGTTTACATGGTTTTGTTGTCGACGACGTTCGAAAAATAAAAAAAAGAAGAAAAGTTTACAAATGAAGTCCAAAGCTAAAGCTATGCCACCCAAACATCAGCCACTTGTGTCGCCCACGCCCACGCATGCGCTGAAAAGTCACAACGATCGGACGATGCTGCAGGACTGTGATTGTGCGTAATTCATGGTTACTACTATATACATACATACATATGTACATAGCATTTTTAATATTAGGTGTGAAAATTCTAAAAACAGCAAGAATGCTTATAAATAGTAATTAATTGTTCAATAATTGCTTTGTCGTTTAGGAGAAAAGTAGTTAAACATTTATTTTCGAATAATTGGAAAATTGCCATACAGCAAAATGTTGCCAAATAAAACGAACTTATTTAGTGGGTACATACATAAATAGATACCGATAGATAACAACGAAGCTTAAACGAAATCGTCATTTCGAAACAAAATATTACACATATATATTTAGGTAAAAAATTTTATATATGCAAATATACTTACATACATATATGTATTTATTTATTACATTTGTATAAATATTATATTCATAAGAAATAACATGAACGTGAAGTATTAGAAAAATCATGGCCTTAGCTTGTATAGTTAAATATGTAATGCATAATGAAATTTACCACAGTGCTACACTGCCGGCAAAAAGTATTGGCACAGTGAATTTTGCACAATATATGCCCCAATTTCTATTCTAATATTTTTACAATATTTTACAATAAAAATACAAAAATATAATTTCTAAACTTTGTGCAAAACTCGTGAAAATTCAATAAATTTTCATGCAAATTTTAAACTTTTTAATCAGATTTTTTAGAACTTTTGAGTATGCAGTTTTGTAGCCCATTAAATTCTAGTATAAAAAATGCAAGCAAGATTTTTGAGATTTTTTTTTTTTGTTGAAAGTGTTTTGCATTTTTTCCATATAAAGTATTTTCGAACATTTTTTTTGTATGGAAAAATTTTTTTATGCGTGAAAAAAATTGCCAAAAATTAACGGCAACTCGTAGCTACTTAGAACTTCTACTTTATTACAATAAAATTGATTGAGCTACAAATCTGCATACTCAAACAAATTCGAAAAAAAATTTGATTAAAAAGTTTAAAATTTACTGAAATTAAAATTTATTTTCGCGAGTTTTGCATAAAGTTTAGAATTTATATTTTTATGTTTTTTGTTGTGGAATGAACCATATTTTTACAAAAAATTGGCGGAAAAATATTACAATAAAAATTGTTGCATATATTGTAAAAAAGCAGCTGTACCAATACTTTTTGCCGGCAGTGTATGTACATTTACAACATTACGCTAAAAATTAGTATATGTTGTAGACTTTTGATGGCTTAAATTGTCTGACTTCAGCTGCTTTGATTTTAGAACAATAACAGGCCTACTTATTCTACGCTGGTATTGTAATCGGTTACTAAAGTTCTCGCTTCAGCTGTTGTTAATAAAATTTTCAATTTGTCGGTTATAAAATGTTCGCTAACAATCAGAATGATCCTGTTAATCAAAATTTTTATTGAAAAATCCATTTAATTTATAATCTTAAATTTTATGGCAGATTACGTAGTGCTAAATTTTATTCTTAAGTAGAAGTGTTAGATCGACTCTAGCTGTTTGGTCAAAAGTTTACACATATGTATATTTACATAATTAATTAATTTTTTTATATTTAACTGTAAATACTAAATACATATTAGGGGTATTCTCGCAACCTTGCAAATCCCTTGCACGGTGCACAGATTGCATGGTTTGCAAAGCTGTCCCATAGGAAACCCGGTTTTTATCGTGCAACCTGTGCACCTTGCAAGGGCTTTGCAAGACTCCGTGAATACCCCTAATTGCGTTTTTGGAAAATATTTTTCTGAAACTTAAATTAAGCTATGCCAATCGAAAAGGTGCCTTAAATTGCATTCGTGCTTTTAACTATACAGCAAATATATATATGTACATATACCTATATAAGTACATATTTATTTTAAAATATGTAAATTACATTTAATGTTAATTAATAATGTAAATAAGTAAAAAGTTAGTTCCTAAGTACCCTAAGCCTGTGCAAAAACTATTTATAAGACAAAAATTTAATTTGTAATTACCCTTTAAGTAACTTACAACTATTATAAATCAGTTTAAAAGATGCCATTGTCCCATTGTTTTATAATAAATAGAAAATGAGTAATTGAAAATTGTTTACAGTAGATCTTCTAGAATTCGGGGTATGAAGGAGCAAATAGCATTTTTCGGGTAATTAAAGTTTAGGGTAAAGGTAGGCCGCTGTGGTGTAGTGGTAAGCAGTGCGCGCTTCCACTCCACAATGCCTGGGTTCAAACCCTAGTCGAAAGCAACGTCCCAAAAAATATACAAAAAGGTTTTTTCTTAACAGCGGTCGTCGCTCGGCAGGCAATGGCAAACCTCCGATTGTATTTCTGCCATGAAAAACAGCTTCTCATAAAAATACAATCGCCGTTCGGAGTCGGCGTAAAACTGTAGGTCCCTCCGCTTTGTGTGACAACATCAAGGCGCACGCCACAAATCGGAGGAGAAGCTCGGCCAAACACTAACATATGTGTAAGCGCCAATCTATTATTATTATTATTATTATAAAGGTAGGGAAAAAAATAATTCCAAAAAATTTTCGGCACACTTTGGCAACTCGTTTGTTTGGCAATTACAAATCATAGACGATTTTCTATTTACATATATCTCGAAAAAAGTACGAGGGACCAATAACACAGTCCGACATGAAAATTACATATTATGTATGTAGATAAGGTTGGCCATTTCTAATCGAATTACTTTACCAAATCAGGTTCTATTGTATCCAATATAGGGTGCACTGCACAATGACCTAGAAATGCGCTACTGAACCCCTTTAAAACTGACAAAAATATTGATAATTTTTACAAAAAGCTGGTAACATTTGCTCATCTAATTTATATTTGAAATGGTTTCAGGTTGCTTGACCAATTGTTTGGTTAATATTTGTGCAATCTTTTTACTATTTAAAATATAAACATTGCATGCTCTAAATTTAGGCTCAGAAAATTAAATTTTGATGCCAGCACCTCTTTTGGTACGAGGAAAATTTTTTTTCGGAAGGTGCCCATAACCCTATCTCGGAAATAATTTGTTAGACCACTCTAGTGTAGATACATATCATCCCCCTTTGCCGGAAATATGAATGTGTAAAAATGAAGTGGTGGAAAATCAAGTTGGAAAGTTTTTTTTATGAGATTTACCTCTACATTCAGGTAATTAAAATTATAATACATATGTATATGTAAGTGGTCTCCGTGTACGCATAGTAATCTGGGTTGTGGTATAACATAG